ATGTGTAAACATTCTACAGATAGGAAACAGTAAAAACGCAGGAAAATTGTGGCACGGTGAGATAGAGGACGTGAACGTATGTATCCCCTATGCGTACGCTAACATAAAAACAGAGCAACTGTTTTTTTGCATTGAAAGTAGGGTTTAGCGTAACCAGAGAATGTCGAGCTTGGTCCGCAAGGACTGTTCAGGCTAGATAAGGTTTTCGGGTTTTTACGTGTCCTGGGAAAGTCTGGCAAATTTGCAAAATTCTCTTGGAAGAAAGAATTTTACCACCCATTTTTCAGTGTTTTATACAAAATATTAAATGTATAATAAGTGATGTACGGACCGAGAATGTCCTGAGCGTTTAAATTCTTACAGGTGTTCATCGTCGGAGATAAGGGCGGTAGCGGCCCAAAAATCTCGATATTAAAAGGACATAGAAGCCACTCAATATGCTGCGATATAAGTCCGTAGATGGTTGACCTGAGCTCTGTACGCCGGCGCCAAATCGATAAGTCGATTGCCTTTGCTTCCACCCCTGTAATAGGCTTCGAGTAATTCTCGTCGTGAGCAATTATCGCAGCAGCTGCAAAGTCAAACTTATGGCCCGTTTTGTAGGTGTTAGCAGCAAATTGCGATAACTCGAAGTTCCGTTGCACAGCCAGCTTATGTTCATATATGCGCAGTCCGAGCATGCTTTCAGTTTAACCTGTGTAATTACACGGACTGTTTAGGCATATGATGCGATTACCTATTGCAGATTGCTATTTGGGATTAGGTTGGTCTTTGACTTTCATCGCTCTGCTGTCCTTGGTAGCTATGAGCCGGCGTGCAATTCCAGAATCCATTTCCGCAACGATGCTCTCAGTTGCATATGAGACGTCTCCTTTACATAGAAAAGCGTGCCATATCTCCAGTGAGCATGGACAGAACGTTCCAAAATTGATCGGACAGTACAAAGATTGTGAAGAAAATTCTGTGCTGACAATGACAGCTTCCAAGTATAAGGTATACACGGGTCATGTATCCATAACAATGAACTTTCCAAAGCAATTGTTTAAGAAAACCCACTTTAAAAGGTCTTCAAGCAGTTCATGTTGGTATTTCAACGGTATCCAACGGGTTGAGCTGATTTGGATAAGGTGAAAAGTTCGATAAATTTGTCCCAAATGAGCTCAATGGAACTCAATTAATTTGATCGTCTGAAATGTATACGATATTCTGGCTGTGAAGCTCTGATAATCAATTTCGAATTCGAATAGGGAAGTGAGGCGATAATTCGTTTTTCGATGATACACATGAACAATCAGGTGAATGGCATGACCGTGACCAATCACCAAAGTATTTATCTAAACTAAAGTTCCATAAGCAGAAAGCTATGGTGACAGTCTGGTTGTCTGCAACTGGTTTTGTCCACTATAGCCTGAAAACGTCCATACGGCAAGCATATCTTTTTTCCGTTGAAGACCACATAGATGTGTATTTATTCTTTCACCTGCTCATGCGGAGCTGGATATACTGATCGAAAAACGAGGCACCCGAAGAGGGGGAGGCGTGAACAAATACCGGACTAGCTGAAAAAGGACCAACGTATATCGACTTTGAGTTCTATTCTCGCACACCTTGTCGATACGTATCACCGATTCGATCCCAAAGACGCTTCTAAGGTGGTCTACCGGACAAAAGACAACTTCTCTTATGGCCTACGCCAACGGGCACTGGCAACAGCCGAGATAGTGGCCATACGGTTCGCATATGCAATACTGTGCTGTCAGAAGACGCTAATACAGGCACTCTCCCTTCCGTGGCGGTAGTGATCGTATTTCATCTCCAACTCTGGTGAAAGTTGTTCGCTCCGTGCACATGGCAGTGATTTTCACTCCGTGTACTCGACGAATAAATAATGCAATAATGTAAGCAAACTCTTCTTAATATTTTCCTCATGTGCCGATGCTTTCTCGGCCCTTTGTAACCAAATAGCGAAGTCTAAAAGCGCTAACCCATCTTTCCTTTAGTAAAAATAAACTGAACGTCAGTAGAGCTATGTTGCCGAAATGTGTAGCTCATTGCATGCATTCTATAACGAGGCTCAAATGAATTAACTAGACCCCTTTTAAACTACTATAGAGACTAATAAAATTATATTAGGTCAGAAAGTCCATTTGCAAACCGGCCTTTTTCTTCGATTTAGTCACTGTGGCCGGACACATTTTTTCACCTGGTTCACACCTGAATTTAGAGTCCCATTGGAGCAAAGTGGGAATACGGAGGGAACAATTTTTCTTTCAATCTTTACGCCGGGCCGGCCGACAGAAAACGTCAGGACCTGATAACCCTGACGTTTGTTGGTGGAAAGGATGGCCGAGGCTACCTCTTTTTTAAAAACGTTGAGAATACCTTCGCTGCACACACTTTTCTTTGGAGGAGTGGGAGTGCAGGTAGGCTTCCCCCTTGACACATTCACTGTTTTTATTACCATCATTTCAACACGTTTTTATATAACTGCACTTAAATAAAACAAAAAGAAAGAGAGATCAATGCTTGATTTCGAAGGAACAATTCCTAAATTTTTAGCAAAAAAATCATCCATTTATCATGAATAAAATATAGTACATCAACCACATAACACCGGTAGATCACAATTGCATAAGGACCAAGCTCTGAAATTGCCAACATCCCTAAAACCCGCGCTTGCATGAGTCGCAACATTGAGACTAAATTGCTCTTCCATGAAAATAAGGCTAGCGTCGTGGGATAATGATATCATTGTTTTAGTTCCAATAAAAAAGATGAGTAAACATCGGTTAACAATGAGCGTAATGAGCATACCGACGTATACAGCATGGCGAGAGCTGCGAGAAAAATGTCACAATTTGCGAAAGACTGGTAATCACTCGCAAACCCACATTAAGTAGGCTTGCAATACCAATTAACGTGCAGCCGAATCTCAAGTCTTTTTAATCAATTCAGGATGCCGGCTTTTTGATGAGCCTCTTTCTGACCGCTTACACATAGTAGATTCTGTAAAAAATGTCTACTTAAATAGCTTATATTTTAAGCATGCACTTTGACTGGTTTTATATATTCAAATGTATTTAATGGAAAAAATGCGTGAAAATAGTTTCTTCTTGTACGCATTTGGTAGGAAATTACACCTTCTTTAAATTCTATACATAAAGAAAGAGTATATTTCAGTTGTAGAAAAACATTTCTAATTATGACATTTTTACGACTGTGAGCTGTTCATTCATAAAACATTGTGTACGTCTATTTGTAAATTCTGTCCTTCATGTATAGAGCATGATCCACATCGACTGAAACCTGTATGAGAACTATGCGATCTCTTCCTTAAGCCGACGCAAAAATGCTTTTTCCTTAAATAAATGTACGCAGCATGCTGTTTGGAAATCTTGAATTCAAATGTAGCAGTCGGCAAATTGCAAAAGTATTCAGCAATTAGGAACCTTGTTTAAACCAAAAGGTACCCTTTTTAAGTGTAAAATGTAACGAAGGCGTAATTTCCCACCAAACAGGTGCAAGAAGTATTTAATTCACTAGTAATTTATTCATATTTTAAATAAATTATTTTTACAGACGGTAAGAATGACGTGCATTGAGAAGCCATCTTTGAATTTTTTGAAATATCTTAGGATTATGCCCTAGGCCTGTCACCAGTACAACCCCCATTACATAATTCTCCGGATTCAAAAAACATTTCAGAATATTGATTTAACATTTATACAATCGATATTGCGTTCAACTCACTTTAGGAAGTAATCATTTCAGCGTAGCTGACCTACAGCAGTGAGCTAACCAGCTTGGCAACAACCACTAAATTTATTTACAGTTTTTTATGGATGCACACACTCTGTTTTCTCCCGCGTTTATTCACCTCGTATTCGTGTCACTTGTGGGTGTCTCTTACTCAAGAAGGCGCTAAAGAACCAACCTTACCCTCTTGCATATTTAGTTTGAAATTTCTATAGTTTTTAACTTTCATTTAGTGCTATTATTTCTAACAATTTTGTAGATTTGCAAATATGCTTTGATTGCTTTTTTGTTAAAGGTTATCTCCAACAGATACAGGGTGTCCCAAAAAATGTATACATTTTTCAAATCAATGTATTACTGGCAAACGTTAGGACTGTGAGATAGGCGTATTTCTGGGTCATTACCCGTCGTCAGTCACAGTTACCTGACTCCAGTATAGCCGCAGAAATTGCCGCTACACTCGAGTTTTGAAACTGGGACCAGTGAGCTTGAGACGACCGTCCTAGCCACAGGGTTGGTGAATCCTGGACCAGATCGGAGTACACCTATGTACTAATTTAC